CTTCTATTTATACAGTTTTCGGGTCATTATACTAATTGCGGGATACTATACCAATTACTACGCTAATTCTAAGGTTAGTATTTTCTTTGACTGTGTTTCTTCTAGAAAGAATTGAAATAATAATCGTATGATTGTTCCTTTACAGATAATCAAAGAAAATGAAAAATTACGATTATTTGGACGGAATCATTAGGATCATCAAAGTGTTTACGGTAAGATTTTCATGCAGAAATTACTTGAACATTACGTATTAAAGGATTTATTGTTACTACCACATTAAAGAAAATATATGCGTCATGGTATTACAAAACAATTAATAGTAATGGTAATGATGATCTTTATAGAGGTGTATGTCGAGAAAAAAGCGTTTACAAACAACAGCAGCAACAAGATCAAATCAAATTTGATGTTTACGCTATGCGAGATAATCGTCCAGAATCTGGAAATGGAAATAATAGTCTTTCTAAATGTGACGAACGCGCGTTATCGTTATTGATCCTGAAATTAATACAGAAGGTTTGTGTATCAATATCGAAATTGGCTTTTATATAAACAATAAGGTGAACAGGATAATAATAATAATTGTAATACAAATCAAGATCAAGGATCTAAATTCAAGAAAATGAAGGTGACCAATTAATTGATTAGATTAAACGTATATTTTATTTACTTTACTTGCTCTCGTTAAAAAACTAAATGGCATTATAAATTTATAGATAAAATATTACAAGAAAATGCCCCGAATTTCCAGATATGAAAGGAACAGTGCGCGTTCGAAAAATCATAACAAATATAATAAAGAATGTTAAACAAGAATCTGAAAATGTCACCTATAAAGTATTGGAAACTTTTCAAGAAATATGAGATTCGATAGGTGTTTTTTCGTTTATGTTGAACGCATTAATTTAACTAATCTATCTTATGTTTTCCCAAGACAACACAATTGATAATTACGAAAATTCCAGAAAGGAATCTAAAGATCAATCAATGGTAAGTGAATGAATGACATCACAAGAATCTTAATATATAATTCAATTTTACTTCATATTTACTATAGACCAAGCGATGGAGCATGCAAACAACAATCACCAAAATTTAAAGCGACTTACTAATAAAATACGATAATTCGGTATGGATCAAGTCAAGGAATGGGACGAGTATGATAAAGTGGTTAGAAATATTCTTGATCAACAAGAAAAACTATCAATTCTTATGGGATTATTCTGTGATCAATCAATGTTCTAGGAAAGATTTGTCAGTTATATAGGTTTCAGAAACATCCTTCATTTTCAAAATATTAATCAATCGATCACACCTAATCATTACCCGATTCCTTCTAATTATATATCGATATGACTATATAAATGACGTATAACTTGACGTTCAATCATGTGTCCCGATAAATAACGCGCAATTTATTATAGTTATGCGACACTCACGAATGTATATGAGCTTTATTAATATAGGAAAAAATAAAATATATGATACATTCTATCTGAAAGTGTCTAATAACTTCTCGGCGGAGAATATGTTGTTGACGTCGTTGGTGTCGGTGGAGTTCGGTTCTCGGCCACCGGCAATAGTTCGATCTCGTCCTTTATATTTACCAACATTTCAATAATTTTTTCAACTACGGCTCTTAGTTTGAGAGCATTCCTCAAGTATTTTTTAACAATCCGGTGAGAGGAAATTCGTAAAGGTATGACGATTTCACAGATTCGATAAACCCGATAAAAAACTCCTTCAAATAAATAGTGCAACCACCGGTTCCGTGGGATAAATGAAATTTGGTTTCAGTAAATTTTCCAAACTATGACTTTTAAAAGTGATGAACTGCTCCAAGATTTTAAGGCTATTGCCAATTTAGATTATCCAACATATATTGTTGAATGTCAGCTTGTAATTGGGTTTGGGTTTGCTGGTAAGTTTGGGTATTATTCCGGACTTTTATAAAGACTTCCTTGGTGATGACCCGCAACAGCCTGGTAAACCAAAGTTTTGAAATTTATTTATCACCTTGCTGTAGCGCTAGTATCATCTCTCCCTTCAAACAAAATATTATATCGCTCATCAAAACGATCTTTACAAATACGAACCAACTTTTTCCAGTCTATAACTTCTTTGTCTTGTTGAGAGAATAATC